TCCACCAGCACTCCCAGGTCCCTCTCTGCAGAGCTGCTCTCCAGCAGGTCCGCCCCAAGCTGCTCAGCAGCACCCTGGGCCCCCCCGAGATCAGCACCTACCCGAGGTCAGAGCCAGGAGCAGAAGGCAGGGCTCACAACTCCGGGAGTTCACGGGATGGACAAAGGCCCTCGGACCACCTGCTCCAGCTGCAGAGCACTGCAGCACGGCGGGAACCGCTGCCAGCTGCGCAGGGCCAAGGAGCAGGAGGCTGTGCACGTCTGGCTGCACTAGTCCTGGATTTTGGTTGCAGACAGTAAATTAAACCTGTCAGGAGAAAGGGTTTTTCTCCTTTTCAAACCCGTATCTTATATTGAAGGAAACACATCCATTCCAATGTTGCTGTCGAGTCCTTTACTGGAGGCGTTCAGGCACACAGAGACTGGGTATCGTCAGCAGCCAGGATCAATGTGTGAAGGAAAAGGGGGTGCAGGAGTCTGTGCTACACAACAAAACAAGTCAAACACCCATTTTACAGCCTGTTAATGCTTTTAAAATAGGACATTTTCTCCGAACATGGTGCATCTCTCTTGAAAAAGGACAGGGGAGTTGTAACAAGGAGGGCATACCTGATTAAGTTGACAAACACCAATTTAGAATAAGATAGTTGATCTCAATCCACCCAAGGCCGGGAGAAAAAGCAGAGCAATTAATCACTCACTACAGGGTGCAGAGTGGGCAGCTCATCTCTGGGGCTGTGCAGCACAGGTATCACGCTCATGCCCCTTCAGGCACCTACAGTCAGGTCTCTGAAGGGGCACAGAGCAGGAGAGGACACAAGAACGCTTGAAAAATTGTGAAATTGGCTTAGTCAGATACTGGGAGGAAAGGCAACACCGAACACAGCAAGTCATAAGGAAAAACGGATGCAACTCTGCAACAGCCGGCTGGAGACAGCATCTCCCAGCTGCTGCCGCCGGAGAGAGAGCGCAAACCACGCTCTGAACCCCACCCCCTCCCGGTGTGGCCTCGGGGGGGGGTCACCGGGAGCTCCAACGGGCGGTCACAAACGACCTCTGGTACCCGGACGCCCCGCAGAACCGGAGCCCTGACAGCGAGCCGCCCCGGGGAGCAACCGGCTCCTTCGTTTGAGGCGAAACCTCAGACTAAAGACGGCCCCGTTGCCCGGGGGTGCTGCAGGGGCCTTTGCCGCAGGGGCTCGGGGAGCAGCGCCCTTCGCTGCAGAGGGGAGCCCCCCCCGCAGCCCACCCACCGCCACGGCCACCCACCCCAA